AGGAGGGAGGGGGAGAAAGGAGAAGATGACGAAGAAGAAGAGAGGTATCCCCACCAGTAACAACAAAAGATCCTTTATCCAAGAAGATATGTACAGAGGAAAGGTAAATAAAACATCTCCCATCTTTTCTTGTGACCCTAACATCCCGTTCTTTACATAATCACACAGGTACCCCGAGGGAAGCACCCTCGAGGTAGACACCCCTAGGCGTCAGCTTCTTCAGCCTGCTCCTCAGCCACGGCGGGAGCAGGCTTGGCAGCCTCAGCAGCCTCGACCTCAGCCTTCTTAATCAGGCTGTCGAACAGCGGCTTCATCTGACGGGCACTCTTCTTAGGATACCTCTTGCAGTTGTCCTTGTAGTCGACATACGTGACACCGAAGCGGGTGACATAACCATCGGCCCACTCGAAGTTGTCGAGAAGCGACCAAGCCATATAGCCCTTGACGTTGACGCCGTCCTCCTCGACCGCCTTGGCCATGGCGTGCACGTAGTCGTGGAAGTACTTGCAGCGGAAGTCGTCCTCGAGGGCCTGCTCGAGGGGCAGATCGCTCTCGCCCTTGAGCGAGGTGCCGTTCTCGGTGACGTAGATCTTGGGGTAGTTGTAGCGCTTGCTCAGCCAGTTGAGCAGGTTGCGGAAGCCCTGGGCATTGGGGCGCAGCCAGAAGGATTGCGTCTCCGGGCCGATGCAGTTGCCGTTCTTGTCGTAGAAGAGGGTCTCCAAGTTGCCCAGGAAGTCGTCCTCGGGCGGAGTGCCCTTGCGGTGCTTGATGTAGTTGGCAGTGTAGTGGTTCATGCCGTAGAAGTCGTTGCTGCCCTTGACGAGGGCGACCTCCTCCTCGGTGAAGGTGGGCAGGCGCTCGCCCAGCTGCTTGCGCATGGACGCCGGGTAGTCGCCGAAGTAGATGGGGTCGGCGAACCAGCTGATGGCGAACTCGATCTTGCGGTCGCACGCCTCGATGTCGGCCGGGTCCTCGGGATCCCAGGGGTAGGTGGCATCGCCGTTCAGGGTGATGCCGATCTCGCCGCCCTGGGTCGGCTTGAACTCCTCGCGGTAGACCTTGACAGCCTTGCCGTGGGCGATCAGAATGTTGTGGCCGACGATCCACGGCTCGCGTGCGCTGTCGCCGACGGGGGACTTGTTGCGGTCGGAGGTGTGGCCGGGGGCGAAGATGCCCAGGTTGTAGCCGTTGATGGCGGAGCACCAGGGCTCGTTGAAGGTGATCCAGTGCTTGCACTTAGGGATGGACTTGAACATGAGGCGGGCATAGTTCTCGAAGTCGGCGGTGAACTCCTCCTTGTTGAGCAGGCCGCCGTAGCGCTTGTCCAGGGCGTCGGGCAGATCCCAGTGGAAGAGGGTGATGAAGGGGGTGATGCCGGCCTCGAGCAGGTCGTCGACAAACTGGCGGTAGTGGTCGATGCCGGCCTGGTTGATGGGGTCGTTGCGGCCGCCCAGCGGGATGACGCGCGACCACGAGATGGAGAAGCGGTAGCACTTGGCACCCAGCTCCTTCAGCAGCGCAATATCTTCCTTGGTGCGCTTGTACGAGTCGCAGGCCACAACACCAGAGCTGCCATCAGCGATCTTGCCGGGGATGGCGCAGAAGGTGTCCCAGATGGACGGGCCGCGGCCGTCGACATCAGTCGAACCCTCGATCTGGTAGCTGCAGAGCACATACAACGTCAGTCACATGGTGATACTCGCATGGTGTTGCACATCATGAGGTCACCTACGCAGCAGTGGCGAAGCCCCACAGGAAGTCCGATGGAAGCGACATGATGGGCGACTTGTCCGAATCTGCTAAGATGCTCTAGGAGTGCTCTGCTAGGATATGGGCAGACCTTGTTGGTGATGAGGGCAGGACGAGGACTGGACTGCAAGACTGAACAAGAAAGAGAGAGAACCACCAAATAACAGGACCCTGAGGCGGACATCAGGCAAGCTTATATACCCCGTTGATACTATCATCGCGGTGGATTTGTGTTCCATGTTGCTGCTGTTGTTCATGTCCTGCTACCCTACTAGTGTTACCTACCTGGTTCCTGGTTCCTCGCGCATCCCATGCGATCCCCCCCCCCCCCCCCATCATGCCTTGACTTAGCCCCATCCTGCCGTGCTGGTTTCGGACCGTGGACACCGAGAAAGACGCTAGGCAAACGGGCTGGGCTGGCAACGGGCTAGGATGGGGGGCCCTGGGGCCCTAGGATGCGGGAGGGTCCCAGCCGAGCTGTGGGAGGGCGCTTGATTGATTGAAATGGACCAAGAGACTGAGCACGACATCAAAGAGGGGGAGGGTGTGGGATGGAGGAAGGTGTGGGATATCGGGGGGGGGGGGCGTAAAGTTGAGAATTGCCCGTTTCGTAGTGTGGTGGTTTCTGGGTAAAGTTTAGATTAAGTTAGGTAGGTAAACCAGGCCACAAGAGAGAAAGAGAGAGAAAGAGCTGCTGGTTAGCCTGGGCCGCATTGACCCGGGCGTTGAATGGTTCGCTAGATGCAGCATGACGATGGAAGACACAGCAGAAGACGCAGAGAACCAAAGAACGATGCACTAATCCATGCACCCCCGCCGCAGAGAAGATCAGAGAGTCAAGCTCGAGGCCATGGTATCAAGTCAACACAACTGCAATCACGATCTGCAACAGAGAAGGTCGTGCGACTTCCCGAGCTGTTTGCGGAAGCACAGGCCGTGGATGATTGATCAATCAATCGACCTTATTGTGGGTGTGAGATCGCAGGACAAATCGCAGCAGGCCAGCAGCCAAGGCAAGACGTCGGAGGGTTCGCCAGCTGGGGAGGATCCGCCAATCCGCCGATGGGAAAAGAGCCAAGCCCCGGGTCACGGAATGCAGCAGAGAAAAACCCGAACAGCCAGAGCAGAGACTGGTGGGGCACATGGAGCTGCGGTGTGGAGCCCCCACAGCCAAATCCCAGCAATCAGCATGAACACAAGGGCCGTCTTGTTTCTGGAATTGGATGCATGGAACAACAAGACCCGACGCCGGCCCAACCACATCACCGCTGGGGCGGTGCCTTAACACCAATCCGGCCGGCCCCAGGGTGTTTTGTGGTTCTGCCGCTGGGACTGGTGGCTACTGGCTGGCTAGGTACCTTACATGATGTGAGGAGGCATTCCTGGGGTAAACCCGAGAATGAATGGCTGCGTGCAAGCCATGGAGCAGCAGAAAGAGCCGCACGAAAGCCGCCGCTAGGGAGGGGAGGGGAGGGGAGGGGGTGGGCAGTTTAGACAGACATCATCGACGTCATAGGCTTCGAACCCATCAAACTCAATTGACAGACGTCACAATCACCAATTCTCACCAGGAACGATCAAAAATTCTTTGAAAAATTGTCCCTGATCCTCCCCCACTGACCTTTGACAAACATTGGCCCTTCTCGGATCCTCGGCCCGCAGCCTCGTCGATAAAGGGGTCGTCTGGGTAAACTTCGGCAAAACCCAGCCGGCCCAGACCTCTCCCGGGGGGGGGGGGAGGGAGGAAAAGGAACGGATGGGGGCACTCGTCAGGTCCCCCGACCCGACCAGCGACCTTGGAACGAGTGATCCATTGACCACACTGCAAGGTCAGACGACCGCTCCTGTCGTCATTTGTTTGGCTGTCGGGACTCTGGGAGGAAAGGACATCTTGTTACCTAGCAGATATCTTGGGCTGCACGGAGGGGCGTCGGTGTAGTCCTTCTCCCTCCCTCCCCCCCCTCCCCCCTCCCTCTCTCTCTCTCTCTCTCCTTTCCCCGTTACAACAAAGCTTGCCCACCGCACCATCATCCTTTTACATTTGCAACGGCATGACACTACGTGTGCGCCGAGACGGAGGGTGAGGATTGAGCTAAGCGTTTGAGAGCCGCCAGCATGCGACCTATCACGGGCTTGTTTGGTATGGCGACTGTGATGGTGTTGGACTCTTGATAGAATGTGGAGTCTCTCGAAAAAAACAGAAACATTTCTCCGTTGACGTTTCCCCTCAACTCAATCACACGCCCAGCGTGTTAAACGAGTTTCAAACGAAACAATATAAGGCCACTGCATCTCTACAGGCTTCTCAGCGCGCACCTGTCCTGTCTTGCCGACGGCCTGTCTCCCATCTGCAACGGTCCCGTGCTTCTAGCTGCAATCTTGCAGCTAGCAGCAACCAGCAGAAGCACTGATTCCACCGCCTGCCCTCCAGCTGTTAGGCGCCGCGTTGCATTGTCCATCGCGCAGCAGCGCATTGAATTCTCTTGTCGACTTTCCTGCCCAAGGGCTAAACTTCGGCCGATCTGACGACTCAGAACCCAGCGCCAGTAATGAAGCAAAGACCTCCCCAGCTTGGACGGCTCGGGATTGTGAAGCAGCGGTTGTTTCTTTTAACATTCTTAAGGATTTGCGCGCGCGGCCTGCCGGCCGGCAGGCCGAACGTTACGGGTGGTTTGGCTGACGGCTGACGGCCGACGGGCCAGATATTCCGTCTCGTCAAAGCACGCCCGTCAGCTTAGCCAAGGCAAAACGACAAGAAACCAAGCTGGCTGGCTTGGTTTTTTGGGCTCCGATTTTCCACTTTGCAATGAGGAGAATTGCAGAACGTACTGTAGACCAATCCCGGGCCGTTGATATTATCGACCTGCCTTTCTGAGCGCTGGTCAGCGATTTCGCTCTCTTCCGTTGTAAATTAGTTATCTTTTTTATTCTTTTTTTCTTTCTTTCCTTTTCTTTTCTCTTTTCTTTTTGCGTGGCGCTGTGTAGCTCCGTAAACCCGTCTGTTTACTTTGCTTTGCTCGCTTCCTCCCCCCTTTCTGATGAGCTACATCTCCCACAATGTGATAGCTATCCCTCGCACTCTCCAAGGGCAATTCCAACATTTCCCATCAATTCAAATGTTTTGCAGTGAAGATGATGCGGATAGTCAAGGTTCTTTTTTTTATTTCCATTTTTTATTTTCATGGAACTCGAGAAACCATAATACCATTCTCCGTAATAAGCTCATCTTGTCCCTCTTGCTCTAGCTTGCTTCTCGCTTCGGGTGAGTACCAGCCGAGTTCTACCGTAATTTGTGATGACGTGCGGGCGGCCGTTTGAGGCTCCTTAGATCGGGTCGGGTGTTCTCCGTCGGGTTAGGTCCGAAGTTCCGTCTTCCTAATGCTGCCGTACATACGTCAGATAGTCGATCCGAGTCGGAAAAATTGACTTTGCTTCCCTCGCCTTCGAACGTCGTCTCTGCTTTCTGTTGTTCGGGCCCAGATGCAGTGGTATATGTAGATTAGACAGAACAATCAGGTCGTCAAGCAGGCGATTTAAGGTATGAAGAGCAAGGTATCAGGAATACCGTCCCGGCAAACTCGATGTATGAGCGTGTGATGAGGGGGGTAGTAGGGAACGCAACGTCTTGCATCCCGAGAATCCCAACTCGAATTGCACAACATGAAACCAACAGTCACTTGCTCACATGACAAGGGGGGGCCACATTGCGAGGGAGATCGGATGAGAGCAAAGGAGCAAAAAAAAAAATGGCAGTAAAGTCAGCCTGGAAGCATGTCTTAGAAAGTCCATTAGAAAGTTAATAGCCAGCCTAGGGAAGTCAGTCGGAAGTCAGTTGAAAAAGCCCATTAGAAAGTTAGCAATAAGCCTACGAAAGGTTAGCTGGAAAAGTCGGTTGGAACATGGTTAAAAAGTTAGTCATAAAGGTTAGCAGTAAGCCTACAAGAATCAGTTTAAATGGTTAGTTCGGAAGTCAGTCAATAAGTCGGTAGGTAAACCAGCTAGGAAGTCTGTAGTAGTATGAGGACTGACCGACTTACAGAATGTACTCGAGCATTCAAAGTGATGTCCTCCTTGCCACCTAGTATCGTAACCACAAGACAATTTGCAACAGTCAACAAGCGCAAGACATGATGAATAATACATGCTCATTTACTGTGTAATCCAAGCTACTTCTGTTGTACAATGACGCACCACCACCACCAATCAACCGACTAAACGTTTATCGGAAACGAAGAAACAAATCTATCACAAGAGTTGTTATGTCCTTTACTCGTGTGAACCACTAGAAACAAAAATCAAGAACCAAATCTGACTTGACAGAATTGTCAACGGGTGCTTGCTTGTTTGATTGCTAAACGACAGATGGCCTAGTCTAAAGTCCTAAAAAAAAAAAAAAAAAAGAGCACGAGCCCGGGGGTATGTAACTAAGTATATGCAATGCCAACAAACTTATCGTAGGCCATACGGACAGACAGAGAAACGAAACAACAAGGGGTATAATAGCCATGAACTAGACGAATCACCAAAGCACAACGGGAGAAGAAAGGGAAAAAAGAAATATGAGCAAGACGTCCGACTATGTCGTAACCGCGGGCGCAGGCGGCTCAAGAAGCTCTCCAGAAGTCCATTCACGAGGAGTAGGAGGAGTCGTCGGCGAGGCCGGGGCGAGCTCCGGATCCGGGATCTGGATATCGAGCTGCATCAACAAGTCAGCATATACCTGTCCCAGCCCTCAACCCAACCTCAAAAAAAAAAAAACCCAAAGCCATGGGAAGAACATACCGTCATATACCCCGTCTTCCGCAAACTCACAATCTTCGGCGGTATAATCCCCTCATCCCCATTGGCATTACTCCTCACCTGCTTCTCCATATCCCGATTCCACTGCTCGATCCACTCTTCCAACCTCTGCAACCTCCTCTTGGCACTCGTAAACCCAAGATCATCCCACAACCATCCCGTCACCAGCCCCAACACGCCATCCACCACGTTCTGCCACGCCCATGGATTAAAGATAGGCACCAGCTCACTATTAAGTTTCTCAATCACCCGTCTAAACTCCGCCTCGGACACCCCTGCGGGGTCCAAAATATCCGGATACAAGTTCGAAAATGTCGGCGCCAGATCCCCCTCGAGCAACCAATCCCTTCGCACGCGAATAATCCTAGTCTTGGCATACTCCGGCGAATCGACGGGTACGTGTGGGTTCAGGTGCGGGTAGCATGGATGTTGCGGACCCCATTCGTTGGTATTTTCTTGTGCGGCATCCGGATCGCCCATGATGGAGGAGTTGCTGGAGGAGAGGTCGATGGAGGCTAGGCCGGCAGAGAGGTGCGAGGCGGTTGAGTAGCGGTTATTGGTTGTGGAGGGATGGTCGGGACCGCGCTCGAGGTCGGTGGTGAAAGTTGCGGTGTTGTTGTTGTTGTTGTTGTTGTTGTTGTTGTTGTTGTTGTTGTTGTTGTTGTTGTTGTCCCCTGAACCAGGCCCGGGGGCCGTGGTCGGGCCATAGGGGGATGTCTCGCCCGTGGGAGGCATTGGTGGCGGTAGTGGGGGTATAACTTCCTTGCCTTTGCCCTTGGAGTCGGCGCGGTGGTGTGATGCTGGCCGGATGCTGAGTCCAATACCAGGAAGCTTGGTGAAGCTGGGGACGCGCTGGCGGAAGCGTCGGGCAGGTTCGGAGACGACTAGGTGAGTGTTGGGGTACCGCTTGCTTGACGACGCTGCGGCTTCGGCGGCTGTGCCCTCGACCGGCGAGGGGCTGTGGCTCGCGCGCTTCTCGTCGTAGGAATGGCGAAGGGAAGGGGTAGGCCGATGCGTTTATCGGGATGGAGATGGAGGCTGGCTCGGCTGGTTCGGCCGGTTTGGTGATGATGCTGGTCTTGTTCGGGAGGTAACGTGAGCAGCGGGAAGTCGCCGGCTGAGCTGCCGAGTCTGGCGCGGTCGGGGTGGTCCGATGAGGTGACGTCAAGGGCGACGGGAGAGAGCGGGACTGGCGGAGGGGGAGGGGTCGATGGACGGCGCGGTCTTCGGGTAGGTGCAGTAGTCGCAGTGGTATGGGGAGTGTTTGGGGTCGATAGAAAGCGAGTAGAATTCGTCGGGTTCCAGAGACGAGCGGATGGCTGGCGAAGCGCACGCTGGACGGCAGCAGGACCGGATACTTTGGTAGCGGCAAGTCGGGTGCGGAAGGGCGACTGCAGCAAGGCGTCGGGGGCGCCGCCAAGGCCCCTTTGCGGGAGGCTGTTACTGCGTGACGGCTGGCCCGCGTTTACCACTGGCGGCGGCGCTGATGGGATGCTCTCGTTGTTGCTCCTGTTCTCGTTCGGATGAGGTCGGCTGCGGCTCGGATGCGATTGGGAAGGCGACTGTGCGGACACGTTCGGAGATGGGGATGACGGTGCATCCAGGACGGCAACGGCGGCATAAGAGTGTTCAGGCTGCTGCAAATGATGTAAATGATCGGGCTGCTGCTGTTTGGCTAGGCACTGCGGGTGGACAGCTCCTCCTCCTCTTTCTCCCGAGTAGGAAGCCGTGGGGACGAACTATGAGCGAACGGCGGCCGCCGAGACGGCCTCCGTCGGGTGGGATAAATTGAAATGGAAATGGAAATGGAGGCTTGAAAAAAAAATAATGCGATCTGTACCGTGTGGGCTGCTTGCGTTGCCCACCTCCTTGCGATTTGTGATTTGTCGATTGGTTCTTTTTTCTCGTCTTTTCCCCCCGTCCTCCAGAGCTCCTCTTTTTTTTTTTTTTTGCCTGAGACGAGGCTTCCCGGTCGATTATCGCGATCTTTTGAGCCACAAGGCGTGAAAGCCCTACACTTTGCTCTCTCTTTCTCCCCAAAAGACTCGCTTCGCGCGCCTATCGCCGCCTCTTGAGCGCAAACGGGTCGCACACCCCTTTTTTTTTTCTCCTTTGAGTCTTGTCTTGGGAATTTCCCAATTTACAAGCTCGCCCGTGGCGCGTCCCGAAAGCAGCAAAGCAGCTCAGCACGCGATAAGCAGAGTCAATTGGTTTGACTGATGAGAGAGAGCCGCAGATCTGCACGCTGGTGGGTGTGGGCGGATACGCAGAGCAGGCCGCTGTGGGTTCAGTTAAGGGGGTCAATTCTGCATGTCGACGAGTTTAATCAAATTGGAGCCAGGAACGCGCGCTTGATTGGCGGTGTCACGATGGAGCAGTTTTGCAGCTGCATCCTTAGCTGATAAGAGCTGTCGACAGCTGGTAGCAGCTGAAGGCTTTCATTGATAAGATATCTATAGATCGGTAGGCTCATATCGATAAACAGATAAAGATCGAACCGACTTGCGACTTGACTCTAGGACTTGACTCTAGCTCATTCTTTCATCAGATGGTTCTTAAATGAAAACAAGTGTTTCATGAAGGTTGTTGCCTCTTAAATACTCTCACATGGTCTTGATTGTCAAGTCGCAGTTTGCAATCGGTGCGCCAGTCAAACCCGAATAACCTACTTTTTTTTTTTTTTNTTTTTTTTTTTTTTTTTTTTTTAGTCTAGAGACAACGGTGAAGCTCGACTCTCGGACTCCATAACGTCATGACTTGGGATAAGGACCAAGAGCTGCACTCCGCGCTCCGCACTCCTTGATCTCCTTGGGGCTCCAATTAAGCCCAATTGCCCCGGGACGACTCGACAAGTGCAGCAGGATTTAATGGCCTTGGGGTCTTCAGACTGATATCAATATCAATTGCGACTCCTACTGCCCCCATCCGGTAACCCTGAAAAGCCCGTGAAAGGGGCGGACGTCATCTTGCTGCTTACGTCTCAGTGATACCTCATCATTTGAGATATTTGCTAGCATCCTTCGACAGGAAGCAGTTAAAGCTACATAACCCCCCTCATTCTGCACGGTTCCTCCTCAGTGCCCCAACCCTGACAGACAGACGGCATGGCTACACTTCCCACGCCAACTCACTCCCGCTCAGGCTCGGAGGCGTCTCTATCCGCAAAATACTCGGGAAACAAGCCATCACCATCGACCAGTGGTCATGGCACCCGCCGCAAGTCGGTCAAGCATAGGCCAGAACCCGATAAACAAGAACCACCTGAAGGTCTCAGCCCACGATCGGGCTCTCCAGTCGTCCGGCAGCCTCTCAAGGTACCACAGGCCCGTCGTCACAGCTCAGTCGCTTACAACATCAAGGAAGCAGCTCGCGATGTACGCGAAAGCATCCTCTTCCCTGAGTCGGACATTGCGCCGCCGAGCGCGGTCGACGAGCCGATGACGTGGAAGACTTGGGTGCCCCTCATGTTCATCGTACTGCCGCCCACGGCTGGGCTGTTGTTCTCTGATGCGGGGAGTGCCTGGGTGACAGATATACTGCTGCTGTCTGTGACGGCTGTTTTTCTGCACTGGGCTATCACGTCGCCATGGTAAATGATATTCTGTCTAGTGACTAGTCCTCACCGGCGTGCTGACGTGCACGAGGAAATGGTACATCTCCTCGCACAGCATCCGTGAGGAGCAAGAAGCCATCTACGAAGCGGCCTTCTGCTCCTCCCAAGTCCACACCCACCAAGCCCGCGAATCCCCCTCCGACGACGCCGCCTCTCTCGCTGCCGAGCGCAAAGAACAAGCCCGTATTGCCGCGGAAGCGCTCAAGCGACTCCGCTCGTATGAACTCACCGCCCTAGCCTTGTGTTTCCTCTCCCCCCTGATCTGCGCCGCCGGCCTCTCCTTCATTGTCTCCCTCCTCAGCACCTTCCACAACCAAACCTTTAAGATCATCACCCGCGACAACCTGATCCTCTTCGTGCTCGCCTCCGAGGTCAAGCCCGTCGCGCACAGCATCCGCCTCGTCTTTGCGCACACGGCCCACCTCCAGCGCGTCGCACACTCCAACCCGCTGCGGACCGTCAAGCTGACCGAGGCCCGCTTCAACGAGATGTGCACGGAGATGGAGAGGCTCAGGCAGCGCGTGCGCGAGCGGGATGATGCGCTCGCCACGGTTGAGCAGAGGCTGGAGGCAAAGGTGCGTGCGCAGGTGGCTAGCTCGATACAAGGTGAGATTGAGGGGCTCAGGAAAGCGCAGAGGCAGTGCGAAGTGGAGGCTAGGAAGCAGGTTGAGGAGATGAGAAGGCGGTTGAGGATTGAGGAAGGGGGTGGGGAGGGGCAGGGGTGGAAGGATCCGGGGTCGATGGCGGCGCTGACGCCGCTGGCAGTTGTGCTGTGGCCCGTGAATTGGTGGATGAGGGCTGCGGGATTGCCTGTGCGCTTGTCGTTAAGGGCTGCGGAGGCTGCGTGGCATCGGGTTGCGCAGAGTTAGTTAGTTAGAGAGAGAGAGAGAG